TCAGATTCAGTCCGCGAAATGCCTCCGGAGGGAGAGTGCTGGCCCCCTGCATTCTGACATGACCGTAGCAATACGGCTGGTACACACACACCACACACACACACACACTGATGCACTTGTGCAACTGTCAGGGATCATTGCACAGCACCAATCCAGGCTCAATCACTTGCAAACCAGGCTCACTCACTTGCAAACCAGACACTCATGATGCACTACAGCTGCACATGCCCTTGCACTCACTGGCCTGACACACCTGTTTCCATCCCTCATGGAAACCACGACAAATGTCACAACCGGCCTGAAACAGGAAAACCTGATTTTGGAAAACGAAAAGGGCCCGACTTTGTTGGCCACCAGCTATGGACGAAGCCATCCAGGTGCACCATCGCAGGTACACAAGACTGATCAGGTCTTGCTTCCCACTTCCAGGTGCACCATCGCCGGTACACAAGACAGATCAGGTCTTGCTTCCCACTTGCATCCACAGCTTCGTTGAGTGTGGTAGGATGCAAGTGCCACACTCCCCTGCACTCATGAAACCATTTAGAATGTGGCTTGTGAAGCCTTTCCAGGATGTAAATACCTGTGTCCACACACAACACACAACACACAACACACAACACACAACACACAACACACAACACACAACACACAACACACAACACACAACACACAACACACAACACACAACACACAACACACAACACACAACACACAACACACAACACACAACACACAACACACAACACACAACACACAACACACAACACACAACACACAACACACAACACACAACACACAACACACAACACACAACACACAACACACAACACACAACACACAACACACAACACACAACACACAACACACAACACACAACACACAACACACAACACACAACACACACACACAACACACAACACACAACACACACACACACACAACACACCCAACACACCCAACACACACACACACACAAACACACACAACACACAGCCAACACAGCCAACACACCCAACACACACACACACACACAACACATGCAACATATGCACGTTTTTGAGACCGGGGCTTGCCGCTTGCGAAGGCCGTCGCCATTCCTAGCCCACCCGCCATGATTCAGTAGAAAATGCTGCAAATTTACGGACGTTCTATACAAAGAGAATGATGATTTAAATTGTCTGCAGTGCCGTGCGGTGCGCTGAAGTTATGGTGGTGTTTAATAAAGCACGTGGCACCCAGCTGCGAACCAAGATCAAGCAACATGTCAGGCAGGCCAAGCAGCAAGAAACAACCTCTTGCATAGAAGCACTGCGCTGCATGGTGAACTAGAACTGAAAAGCAGCACACAGCGGCATCCGTATTTGCACACCGCGATCAAGCCAGCTGCACGCAAGTCGGTGGGGATTCTTGGCAGTACAATAGAACAAAGTCCGCAATCTTGCTGTCGCGGAACCAGCTGCAAAGGTGGCAGATTCCTTGAAAAGTCTTGAACGCGCACCTCAGGACTCCACATCCCAGCCCAAAGACGGATCCTGGAAAAGGGCAACGGCACGCACGCCATCTCTCCTCGTGAAACTAGCTCTCCAACATCCGTACCAAAGCCCAGGGAGGCTCCAGCAGCACGTGGTTTCGGATTCGAGAAACCAAGCAACGATTGGAGACATATCGGTAGGGATGTTACACACTTCCGGAATCTCAGCAAATCTGGCAAAGGCGCTGAGAATATGGGCAGGAAATTGAGAAAGTTTGTCAGGGACTTGAGACAAGCATTGTAGGGTAGGGCTTACAGGGCTTAGGGATGTTTGGCGTGTAGATTCAGATTTGGGGCTTGTTGCTGGGGGCTTCGGGTCTAGAAGGGTTAAGGCGGTTTGGAGTTTGAGTGTCTATAAAGCACTTGGGGTAATAGGATCTTCGAACCAAAACTTGACGAGGGACTTGGGGAAACTGAGCTGGCTTCGAGAAGGGACCTGAAAAATGAGCATAAACAACCGAGCGCCGCGCAGCTCAGGCGCAGCTCAGGCGCAGAAGGTCTTCTGCCGGCTCATGAGACGCCGGAACGCCTGCCCCGTCTGCATGAAAAAGAAGCTTCTACTTACACAGCACTCTGGCCAGGCTAAAATGCACCCAGGTCGGATCGACTCCGACTCTACGCAACCGCCTCCGAAGCAAAGGCATCGTGATTCTTGTCCGGGTGCCACTTGAGGAGGAGCTTCTGCAACACTTAAGAAAATTGTCAACTCTCAAACAACAGCGGTACTGCAGGCGAGTGAAGCCTTGAATCGCCTGCGTCGCATGCTCGCATCCTGAGAGGCAGACGCAGAATCACAAGCCCTGCAACGTGCAACCAGCCATATAGACCTTGTACACAAACTGTGTTCAAGCATGTCGCCGTGGCCTCATGCCACGCTTCGAGCAGCTCCCTTTCCACTTTGGCCTGCCCTGGGGCCTGGTGCGCCAACGGCATCACATCAAACTGCACTTCCACCAAAGGTGAGGTGCTGCACGTTTGCCAACGCAGATTCGCAACTCATCAGAAGCTGATTCACTCTGAACCTGCTGCGTCGATTTTGCATTTGAGCCCTGAACGCGATCCACCACAAATCGACCTAAACTCTTTCATTTATCCCATGAACCTTGTTTGCCTCGGCCCTGCTGCCCGTCAATCCAGGCAGAGTATCGACGCGCAGCGCTTCATCTTAGACCTCAAACCTCTGCATGAATGAACCTTATATCCCGACCTTATATCCCGAGAACCCTAAACCCTACTAAATGTTAATCCCTGCCTGCCGGTTCTGGCACTTCTTGGCCTTGCAAGTCGGTTGAGGGGGATTGTTTGACACATGCGTCAGATACTTGGACCTCCAAGGGTTAGACAGTTAGACCCCTTCAACTCCAAATCCTCCGTGCGGCAGCTTAGAAAGAACCACTAGGTTCTCAGTTGAAGTTCAAGGTGTTTGCCATGTCCGCTTCAAACCTGGCATTGTGCCGGGAAATTTTGTCAGCAAGCAGCGGCCCTAAAACGGGAATGTAAGTGCACCGACGCGTCGGCTATATGATGTGCTGTCCATGTGAAAAGCACTCAAGATACCTCCTCTTGTCTCCACAAAATCCACGAATCCCCCGAGGAGGAAAACTTAGTCCCCCCCAAAAAAAATCAACCATAAAGCTCTCAAGTCCTATAACTGCACGCGTTCTCTCGACGCCGCCGCCTCCCCGGGAGCTGGCCTTTGATAGCCGCCTCATGTGTTGCAGGGGCACGGCTGAACATGAAAGAGCTAAACACGAGAAGGCCTGGGAAGCTGCTTCGCTGCCACTGCCGAGGGGCCTGACAAGAGACGACTCCTGCATTCTGGCTTGGGGCCTTTCTCCTGAAACGTTTTGCGACCAACTCACGCAAAATCTCAGAAGCATGGAGTGACCAAATGTGAGATTCTCTCGAGATACCTCCTTTTTCGTTTCCATATGCTTGCTTCCCCCTTTTAATCCCTTTACTAACCCCCCTCACTTGCCCAAATTCCTAATTTCGGTTCGGCCGGAAAGTATTTACAATTCGGGAGGTCTAGCGAGTCTAGCGCACGGATTGCACCTGGAACCCAACACCCTTAGCCTCAGCCTCAGGGCCTGAACAAAGCTGGAAACCCCCAACCCCCTGAACTGTCTGGGTTCAGGGGCACTCGTTCTCTCGACGCCGCCGGCCTCCCCGGGAGCTGGCCTTTGATAGCCGCCTCATGTGTTGCAGGGGCACGGCTGCACATGAAAGAGCTAAACACGAGAAGGCCTGGGAAGCTGCTTCGCTGCCACTGCCGAGGGGCCTGACAAGAGACGACTCCTGCGTTCTGGCTTGGGGCCTTCCTCCTGAAACGTCTTGCGACCAACTCACGCAAAATCTCAGAAGCATGGAGTGACCAAATGTGAGATTCTCTCGAGATACCTCCTTTTTCGTTTCCATATGCTTGCTTCCCCCTTTTAATCCCTTTACTAACCCCCCTCACTTGCCCAAATTCCTAATTTCGGTTCGGCCGGAAAGTATTTACAATTCGGGAGGTCTAGCGAGTCTAGCGCACGGATTGCACCTGGAACCCAACACCCTTAGCCTCAGCCTCAGGGCCTGAACAAAGCTGGAAACCCCAACCCCCTTAACTGTCTGGGTTCTGTGGCACTCGTTCTCTCGACGCCGCCGGCCTCCCCGGGAGCTGGCCTTTGATAGTCGCCTCATGTGTTGCAGGGGCACGGCTGAACATGAAAGAGCTAAACACGAGAAGGCCTGAGAAGATGCTTCGCTGCCACTGCCGAGGGGCCTGACAAGAGACGACTCCTGCATTCTGGCTTGGGGCCTTCCTCCTGAAACGTTTTGCGACCAACTCACGCAAAATCTCAGAAGCATGGAGTGACCAAATGTGAGATTCTCAGATACCTCCTTTTTCGTTTCCATATGCTTGCTTACCCCTTTTAATCCCTTTACTAACCCCCCTCACTTGCCCAAATTCCTAATTTCGGTTCGGCCGGAAAGTATTTACAATTCGGGAGGTCTAGCGAGTCTAGCGCACGGATTGCACCTGGAACCCAACACCCTTAGCCTCAGCCTCAGGGCCTGAACAAAGCTGGAAACCCCCAACCCCCTTAACTGTCTGGGTTCAGGGGCACTCGTTCTCTCGACGCCGCCGGCCTCCCCGGGAGCTGGCCTTTGATAGCCGCCTCACGTGGCGCAGGGGCACTGCTGAGGCTGAACATGAAAGAGTTAAATACGCAATTTGACGGCCTGGGAAGTTTCGATGCCGAGGAACCTGACAAGAGACGATCTACGTGCGTTCATGTCTCTACGATTTGCGACCAGCTCACGCAGAATCTGACAATCATGGAGACAGCCAAGGTGAGGTTCTCTCGAGTTACCACCCTCTCGACCCCATACATCCCCAAGATCTCCTTCCCCCAAATTAAAAGCCGGAGCAACTTATGCGCGGAACTTCCATTTGGTCCAGAGAACAAGGTTCCGCACTTCACTTCACTACACGGCATCCCGCCTCAGCGCGAGGCTGCTCGTTCTGCTCGGCGGTGGCATCAGCCACAGGCGCCTGCCCCAAGGAGCAACCCCCAAGAGCGCTTTTAACGGCAGAAGAGTTGAGTTGCCAGGGCTCAGGAAGCATCATGAAGTTTACATCTTGCAGGGCGTAGGGGCTTGCAGCATCAAGTGTTTCAATTCTCGCAGTCGAGGGAACAAGCTGCGGGCACATCCACACCAACGGGCACGCGCCCACTAGAGGCACCTCGGCCGGCGCTGCTGCCGCAGCTGCTGCCGCCTCGCGGGGCTTCGTCGCCGGCACGCTCGCCTGCCCACGAGCATTTTAAACCATTGCTCTGCGCCGCAACGCATGCGACGTACATCTCGAACCTTATACATGCCAGTAAAATGCGATCCCGTATCATCTCATCCCTTGCAAAGCCCTGCCTCACTCACAGAAGCCCTCTGCTGGAAGTCACGCAACGAATTCTCAAGGCTGCCGTCTTTCGCGGCTTTGACACGCCGGTTTGGGAGGGTTTTGGGGGTGTGTAGGTAATGGAACCTTCTCTGAAAGCTGCCTCCTTCTGCTCGGCCTGCGGCGGAGCGACAGCACTCTTCCCCTTCGCCTGAGCTGTCTCAGACTGAGAGGCACTGGGTAAGCTGGGTGAAGCCGCGTCTGCTCGACACCTTGCGCATCCGAAAACCCACGAAGACAACAACATGGCAAACTCATCCCGAAACCGCCAAATGAATGGAACCTGCACACAGCCACATACTCCGGCAAGTTAAGGCGCGCGGCCACCAACAAAATAGATCAACCTCCAAACCTGACCTGAAGTGAATCCTCCCCAGGCAACATTCTTAAATCCCCTATAACCCCTAAGGATTCACCTTCGAAGCCCCAAACGAGTAAACCCTAAACCTTCAGTTGCCAAAACCACTAATCCTTGAAAAACTGCAAATCCCCCAACAAAAACACTCGGCTCAGGAAACTTTGCGAGCATGAAATTGAATCAAACCAGGTGTACTTGTCGCCTTGCGTATAAGCTCTTTGGGCTACAACCCTAACCTCCCATAGGCTAAACCCTCAAACCTCAAACTTCAGCAATCCTGCCTGTAGGTAGGTTGCGCCCCACCCAGATGCAGCAGCTGACTTTTGCCTGCGGAAGGGCCCTGAAGGGCCCTGAACCCCCAACAAACCCGAAACCGTTTTCGCTTTAAAGTTCGGGCCTTTGGTGTTGCAGTCCCTTCATTACAGCAAGAGCCTAGGGTGAATTACAGGGTTTTGAGGTTTTATAGGGACATAATACACACATAAAAATAGACACAGAACATTAGGTTGGACATGTATACAGAAGCAGCGATGCAAAGCGATGTGCAACAATGCTCTCGCTCCCAGGCCCTAAACTGCATAAGCCCTAACCCTATAAGCGTCCCCAAACCCCAAAAACCCTAAACCAAGTACAGTCTGCTTGGGGGCCCAAAGAAGGCCAATGTATTTTAAGAAGGCGCATGGACTAACTCCTGAATCCTAAACCCTTAAGGGTTAGGGTTTAGCGTTACAGGGCTAAGGGGTTTAGGGTGCAGCATCGTCTCCCATGAGCCTCTCGGCCGGCGGCCGCCCGCGCTGTGCCAAAGCAAAGGCCGCAGCGGCACTGGCAAATTCGCCAGACCATCCGTCGCCTATCTGTGTAGGAGTCTGACATCTTTTGGGGTGTAGGGTTTAGGGCTTGGAATATAGGGTGTCTTCGATGTACGGTTGGGGGTTTCAAAGGGTGTTTGGGGCCGAATGCTTTGCGCTGACTTTCATGCTCGGCTGCTGCGGGATTCCAAGCTGAATCAAAATGAACAGCCTCTTGATGCTGGAGGCGTTGCTCGAAGCCAAAAGCCTAAACCCTGAACCCTAAACCGCAAACCCAAAAGCCAAAACCCGACCTAAACCCTGAACCCTGGACCCAATCTTTCTCCCCACCTCATAAACCCCCCAAAACCCAAAGTCCGCCCCGTAAACCCTAAACCCTAAACCCTAAACCCTAAACCCTATAATCCTAAACACTAAACCCGCCTGGGTTTGGGAGAGCCTGAAGCGGCAACTCCGCACCAAGCGTGGCCTCACAAGTGAAGTCGAGGCATCTCTTGGGGTTTAGGGTTGAGGGTTACGGTTTGTAGGCAAGGGAGAATACAACAGTCCCAAAGGCCCACCTAAGGAAAGGTCACTCAACTTCGGCGTTTCGGGTTGCAGGTTTTGACTTCGGATTGTGATAAGAATTTCCGCATGGTGGCCACACGATTCGATGATGCCGCTGCGGAGCAGGAACCTGTCTGAGCCTCACAGCAACGAATCGAGAGGGTACGCCCAAGCTGACCCCTTGGGACATTCCATATTCTGCTTTGTTGGGTTTAAGGGATATTTAAGGGAAACTTCTCAAAGGGTTTTAAAGGGTCTTCCAGGAGCCCAGGGTGCTCAAGACTCGTAAAGCATGCCAGCGCGTCAAGCTGCATCAACAATAGGACTTGGGTGCTGGGAGGGATTATGGCTCTCAATGTCTCAACCCACCTAAGTTTTTGTAGGGTTTATGGCTAGAAACCCCAAACCCTAAACCCTAAGTACGGGCCGCCCAAAACATAACCCCAAACCCTAAACCCTCAACCTTCTTCAGCGGCCTCAAAGAAGTAGGGGCACAGCGGGATCGGGACGATGAAGCCAAACCCGGGCCCCTTTGTTGACGAGTGGAGGTTTGGGGTTTGGGGTTTAGGTTTGAAGGTCTTTGCAATGACTCTTTCCGCCTTGTAGGCCAGGGTTGAGGCGTGAGGGTTTAGGGTACCTTAAACCCTAAACCCGAGAACCCTAGAACCCTGTAGCCTTCAACCCCAAACGCTGACACCCCGATTGCTTAAATACCCTATGGCCCTCTTAGAACCCTACTAGTAGCGAGACACATGTTTGCAGAACAAGGCCATCACGCCGATGCCACTGTATCGGGTGACCTTGAAACGGAACAGGCCGCAATGCATCAAAGAGGGCACAGGTGACTTCATCTGAATCTGAACCTAGGAATGGGGAGAATTGGTCTGGCATGCTATCCTGGCTGCGAGTCTACAATCCGAGCCGGCGGCCCTGAACTCCGCGGGCTTCTTCTTAGTCCGCGCAGCCTGGCTCGGGCAAGCACACACAGCATTCACAAGCCAGCCTCACATTGCCTCCACGAGCTCGTCGTACATATTGCGCGGACCGCAAGATGTGTATGATGCGCCACGCAGGCCTGCCGACTTCACTGAGTCCACTGACTCGTTCACTGTGTCGCCAAACAACCCTCAGGAGTTCCGTTGGCCGGGGTGCACCCCAGGCCGTCCACTCACTCTCTCACTCTGTCACTCACTCACTCACTATGAAGAAAACAAGGACAAGAACAGCAGCAACAGCAACATGGATGATGGTCATGACTAGTTCAAATCATACTACAAACCAAAGCAAAGCCAACATTAAGCACCAGAACGAGAAACAATGATGACAATGACAAAACAAGAATGAGACCCACAGCGCTTTTTTGTAGTCCAGCAGAAGTGGACCGCGGCTAAGATCAGGGCCGGGACCAGGTCGAGGGAAAATTGGCAGGCCTGCGCAGCTGCATTGGTTAGGCTAAACCGGTTTAGGGTTTGGGGTCTAGGGTCTAGGGTCTAGGGTTTAGGGTTTAGGATTTAGGTTTACAAGCTTCGGCTGGCATGCACTACCATTCAATCTTTGGGTTTGTGGTACTGCGACTCCTGGCAACTAGAAGCATGGTAGTTCATGGGCCAAGAGTCCAGCCAGCCACCCTGCCAACCAGGATAAAGGCAACCATCAGAAAAGTACGTATCAAGCTAGCGCAAGACTTGTACGGTAGTCACAACAAGAAACGGCGGGTCGCACTCATCACAAGAATAAGTACAGCAGAGCTAGCTGGGCTTCTGGCAGCAGCTGAAGTAGTTGAAGAAACCTCTGCCCTGGCACGCAGCGAAGACTACGTGCTCAAGATGTGGTTATACTCTCGAGATTCGGGGCCTGGAAATTTAGGCGTCTTGGGATCTTGTGGCTTTAGGGTTACTGTTTCTCATGTTGTTCTCTTGTTCGGAAACCGGGCTTGGCTAGATGACCGCGCGGCTGCTGGCTAGGAAACAAACCTTGGGGCATTCATGGAGATCTTTGAGCATACATATATGGATATATATATACATGCTACGGCCGCCCCCCCCCCCCCCCTCATAAACCTAGGTTTCGTATACTTCTTACACTATTTTTTTTTTGGGGGGGGGGGGGGGGGGGGGCGTACCATATGTATATGTATATGTATATGTATATGTATATGTATATGTATATATATATGTATGTTTACATGTCCTGGTTTTGAATCCTCGGCTTAAAGCTCTACTTATTGAGCACGTCTTAGCTTTCTTCATTTACAAAAGTCGGCTCAAGAATGCTCTCAAGCCTTGCCCGCGTGAACTGTGATTGCAGTTCCAGGGCCAATTTGAACGAATGGCCATCTTCGCACGTGATTGTGCCGAATTTCACAGACTCAGGAGGTGCTCGGGTTTAAGCTTTAGGGTTTGGGGTTAAGGTTTCGGGACTGCAGCTTCCGAAAGCACCGTGAAAACGCGTGAGACATGTCACTGCGAGAAGGAGTGTCCGACATTGTTTCAACCCGTGCAATTCTCAAGGCGCGTGTCAGGTTGACGAGGTGCATCGGGGGACTGCATCATTTTGAGCTGCAAGGTGAGTTTTAGGCCTGCTGCCTTTGAGGCGACAACATGAACAACTTGATTCTGGAAGGTGAACGAGCCTTGTTGAGAGGCAAAAACGAGCCCATCTGGGGTATAAACAACCCATGCAAGCTTTCACACTTTCGGCCGGGTCCTCTTCCCTTAGCTCCCTTCTCATCATCCTCCTGGGTGTGTGTGTGTGTGTGTGTGTGCATGTTGGCATGTGTGCATGCGCGTGCAGCCTCGTGATTGGTGATGAGAAACTATGAAAAGCGCTCAGGGTGCTGGAACTGGCTGTCCGGCCCCACCATGCCCGCCATGGCCAAGGCAGGCAGGCACAACACGTCGACCGAACAAAAGGGAGTTGAGTTACATCTTTGCCATACGCAGATCTCCCTCAATTATGCCTTCAGACCTACGAGTAGGAACAGCTCGGAGCCTTGAGTAGTAGGGTGTGGGGCCGCTGTCAGTATCGTGCTCGCGTGCTAGCAGTAGCAATGCTTGAGCAATGCGTGAGCTTCGAGACTTGGACTCATAAGTTGCTCAGAATCGGAACTCAAGATGACACGTGTGCGTGCGTTCTGTTCCGAGACGTCTGGGCCTAGCCATTTTCCTACAAACAAAAAAGACTGCTTGTTCCCCAAAACGGCTTGAATCGAAAGAAACGACAACCCGAGAACAGATTCGGCGGCCACTCACCACATACGGCTCATAGTGCCACAACCGGGTTCTTCAACGCTACAAATCTTCACAACCCCTATTCCTCACAAACATCTGATATATTCCTCATGCGCACCTAAAACTAGCTGTGAGCCGTGCTCTCTGGGGTGGACAACATGCAAGTCATTCCCCACAGCAAGCTCCTTCGAACTGTCTCGCAAGCCCCCCGCCCTCCCCCCATGCCCCCCCTTACTAGACCGCCATATATTTGAACACAATACTAACGATGAGTCACAAGCAATGAAACCAGCAAGGCATCTACGAGGCCCTTCCTGCAAAAAGTCGTCATGATACGTAGACACATAGTCACTGGTACTAAATGAACTTGAACCCAAGGCTGACCTGGCAGAGCGCGGGAGCCGTCCCTTGACACAGTTCTACACAGCTTGGGGTCTACAGGGCCTTCGATTGGGGGTGAGGGTTTTCGGTTTCGGGGTTTCGAGTTGAGAGTTACAGGCTCAAGGATTGCAAACAGCGGGACACCTTCTTTCAGGGGCATTGGGTCACTGCTCGCGAAGGCTTGAGTGGACTTGTGGAGGCTGCGGGCTTTGCCCCTTGAATTGGGAGTTCTCAAAATAGCCGCTTGGAATCACGAAGAGGGACCCCTATCATCGCCGGCATGATAATGCCCTACATATCCCTACAGGCCCCCGAAGTTTTGAGAAACGCTCAACTATGGCATGTCTTCGACATGGCCTGACTAAGCCCTCTCTCTTGAGGTGCAGCGAGATAGGGCTTTCAAAATCTCAGCGCCTTTGTGGCCTGAATCCTGTCTTGGTAGCCCAGTGGCCTTGTTGTAATGAACCCAAAAAGGGCAATAGTGCACTCACTGGGCTACCAAGGCTATTGAAAACGAGATGAGCCCAAATTTAGCCCAGCAAAAGCATCACTGTAGTGCGGAGGTGCGCTGTTCTTTGTCGCGCAACTCCGCACCAGTATTCTGGCGCTGCGGTCCCTTGCTTTTTGTGCGTGCTCTAAGACATATAGATTATAGATCATCTGAAAACCTTCATGGCAGACAAGGCTCTTCACACGGTTGAGGGTGTATGGCAGTGTATGGTTCAGGGTTCTGGGCGCAGCCAGAGGCGGTCTCAAGCCAATTTAAAACCGGCACGACGGCAACTGCAAAAGTTCGTCGCAATTCTATTCCTCTACACGCCGGAGCAGATGCGGTTCACGCAACGAGACCCGCAACTTGCCGTCCCCCCCGACTAGAACCGGAAGACAAAGGTGGCCATTTGTCACATGGGTTTAGGGCTTAGGGCTTAGGATTGACACAGGTATGTGCCAAACTTCTCCACTTTTCTGGGTTGGCGGTTTAGGGTCTTTGGGGGGGGTATGAAAAATCACCAGCACATGCCCACGCTGCAGCTACCTGCACGAGGGGATCCTCATCCTCGATTGCGGAGGATGCAAAGGAGGTATCAAAAGTGCAGTTCGGCTACTTCCCCTGGAGGTTCTACCCCAGAGCGCTCAAATAAGGCTGAAAAGGGCACCCGAGAGTACTTGTGCTCAGGGCTATCTTGTCATTCGAAGCTCACGTAGCGGGGGTCTGCGTCCGCCACCTGGACATCTCCGGTTTTTTTCTCTTTTTTGAAACACAGTGCACTGCAAGAAAAGCTCCTCTCAACCCGACAAGAACTGCAGCATTCTGTTTCGTGTGCCTTGTCAGAGTCAGGCGCTTCAGGTGTCGGTGTGGGCAGGGCTCTTGCCCTTCTTGTCCAGGATATCCTTCAACCGCACAGCAGAGCAGAAAGGACGAGACAAGTGATCCGAAAGCATAGCAACGGAATTTGAGCACATTTTCGCAAGAAATCGGAAGAAAGCCAGAGGAATAAGCGAAAAAAGGCCAGGGGCTCGCGGCTCAGGAGTCATGTCACTCGGCATATGAATTCTACTTGTTTCCATTCTACAAGTACAGTATAGCATCTCACCTCATGTTCAGTCATGTTGGAACCAAGAACCTGAAGCGTTCAACCCTGAAACCCGAACCTTGCATCCTGTGTGTCTTTGCTGCGTGCAAACCCTCAAACCCTCCCAACGGCGCACCAAGCTTCGCTGCCAATTGCTTTCGCAAAGCATTCGCAAATAGACAAAGACTCGTGTAAGCCAATAAGTTTAAGGCGTGGCAAAGATTGTGGCCCCCAAGCGGCCTTGCAAAACCCAGAGGCCCTGCCGACAGCTTCAGAATTTCCAGGCTGAAGCATTCATGAAATACGGTTCTAAGGCAAGGCCACTTCCCTCGACGCTTTCCACGTCTGTGATATTCGCAGACAATATCTCAGCAAGCCATAGCTCCAAAACACACACACACACACACACACACACCCGCCCCGTACACTTTCAGGCAATGCCCACCCACCCGCGTACATACGCGCGACATACTCGCATGCATACAGACAGACAGGGCACAATCAAAAACATTCGAGGCACGTGGCCTGGGAGCTGGCACCCAAGAGCACCTTCATCTCACCTCAGCGCCGAGTTCTGAAGACAGACACAGACAGGGAGAGACAGAGAGAGAGAGAGAGACAGACGCGAGATCGATATGGTTAGTCAAAGTAGTACAAGTAGTAGTAAAGGCAGTCAGAGTAGGAATAGCCGCAATGTTCGTAAGAGTAGAAGCGGGAGCGATGCTACAATAGTATGTACGGGCGTAATACACTTAGTCGTTGTCGTAGCAATAACAATAGTAGCAGCACTTGTAGAAGTATCAGAACTTGTGTTGAGTAGTGGTACTCCTCGTCGTCGTTGTCGTAGTAGTAGTAGTAGTAGTAGTAGTAGTAGTAGTAGTAGTAGTAGTAGTAGTAGTAGTAGTAGTGGTAGTGGTAGTGGTAGTAGTGGTAGTAGTGGTAGTAGTGGTAGTAGTGGTAGTAGTAGTAGTAGTAGTAGTAGTAGTAGTAGTAGTAGTCGGTCGTCGTAGTGGTAGTGGTTCGAGGATTCGCATGCCCTGACTTCTCCTGTGGACTGCACTATTACGAATTCGTGGCCTCTTGGGCTTACCCGAGCTCAAAAATACTGAGAAGAATTGCGTTGACAATGTGCTGGTTGAGCTGTGAGATACAGCGCCCGATGCCCAAGCCCGCGGCCGGCGGAGTCCTGATCCCGGCCATCAGAAAGGGGTGGCGCCTTACAGTGCCAGTCTCCGAGCTAGCGGAGCACAGTAGCCGAAGGAGAAGCCAAGTTTGGAGCAGGCAAACAGATTTACAATAAACATCGAAAGAATCAGGGTATTCACATTAACATCAAAGGCGCAATCAACAAGAAGAGAGTCGCTCTCCTGAGCATGGCAGATTCACCATGAAACCCTGAACCCCAATCGCACAGCTTCGACATCCCTACACCCCCGACTTGGTACCTCAAACTCGCAGTAGCGAACTGCAGAGCAGCACGCAACCAACCCAGTGAGTGATCAGCAAACTTGTCGTTCAGTGTCTTTTGTTTATTCTCAGACTGTATTGACACATGTTTTCGATGCAGCCCCTTTAGACCGGCTACGTCTTTCCAGGCACCCGCCCCGCCTTGTCTGCGCCGTGCTTTTGCAATGCTTCCGCGCACATCATGTGGCCGTTCTCTTCTGCCAGTTGAATCGCAGATCTGCCTGGGACAGCCCCTTAGATCCCTAGGGCGCTGAACCTTAAGCATCGTCTCTTCAGTCGAAAGACCCTTAACACTTCCGAGGCTATCTTCGAAGCTCGACTTGCAGCAACCTGAACGCAACGGGTTTAGGATTTAGATTTTGTGCTTAAAAGGCACCCATCGACTGAGAGTTCTCTTGACGCACGCAGAGGCATGTCAGTACCACGCTGAACTCCTGAAAACCGTTCGGTTCACGGCCCACACCTTGCGGGTTTGGGATTTGCTGTGTTCCTGAAATGGTAGTTGATCAAAAACTGCTGTTCCTAAGAGGACCCGAAATTTCCCTCGTAAACGAATTTTGAAACCCCAAAATTCTTGCCCAAGAAAGCCTGTAGATCAAATCCCTAGCGTGCATAGAACGTGCGACAATCGAACAAGGGTGCTGGAGCTTCGGACAAAACTGCAAAAGCCGCGCTCAGGTGGAGACCACGGCAGCAGGAATAGTTACAGTTACTATTGCTATTCGAGCTACTTCAATGTGGTACCTTCTTATCATTTGTGAACGTACTCTTATATCACGTGCCGATATAGGGTACTAAGCACTAGTTACTTGCTGCTATTGCTTTTCCTGCTCCTCTTTGGCACGAGGCCCCGGCCGTTGGCATCTTTCAGTTCCTGGCCCGCAACCGGGTTCTTGTTGAGGAGCTCGTTTAGGGTTTCGGGTTTATAGGGTTAATTGCGATCTGCTTCCCCCCCGTCCCACTAGGTTCATAATATATGCATACGGCAAGGGTCAACAAGAACACACAGAAACAACAACACACCCTAAACTCCCCGTAAACCCCCAAAGCCCCCCCAACCTAAACCCCGCTTAAGCCCCCCTTAAGCCCCCCCAAAACCCCCAAAACCCCCCCAAAACCCGCCCCCACCCCCCCCCCTAACCCCCCCCAAAACCCCCCACCACACAAACAGCAAGAAGACGAGCAGGACGTCCACGTGCCCGACTCAGATGACGCAGAGGCCAGGAATGGAACGAGCTTTCCATGAGAGCCAGGGAGGCGATATGGAGGGTTTCCGAGAATAGGTGTATTTGTTGTGGGGTTCCTTTGAAAGGAATATATATATATATACATAAATAGTATTTTGGGGTGTGCAGGGAAGTTGCACGCATGGTGCAGCAAGGAACATGCTGGGAGCTTCCGGGTACTTACACCCCCAATTTGTTTGGTGCACTTATAAGCCCCTAAGTCCTTTACGTAAGTTCTAAGTGCACTTATAAGTGGAGTTATAAGTACCCATTGGAACCTCCAAGTGATAACCCTAAACCTGCTCGGGTACTGCGCCAGCGTCTGCGTTTGGAAACCTCCTACGTGTGGCCCAGGATGATTCAGAGTTGTACGGATCTCCATGCGCATTCTTCTAAGAAGCAGCTCACCCGGAACGCCCTTCCCGCCTTGTCTGCGCCGTGCTGCAGCAACACCTCCAGGCACGGCAAGTGGCCCTTCTCTGCTGCACAGTGGAGCACCGTTCGGCCTCAGGACAAGACGAGACCGCACTTCAAATTTTAAAACGGGCCCATCAGTGGGGGGGTAGCTTGCACAATGAAATCCCCAAGGCTTCTTCGGGGACCTGCTCTCAGGCCTTGCAGCAAGGAGGTCGTGCCTTACTTGTCCTAGCAAGGTCCTGAGGCGGGAGCAGAAGAACGCATGGCTGCAGAAAAAGAGGCAGAGGCAAAGATCAGGATCACTTAGGCATCAAGTCCGAAAGAATCGTGGGCGGTTCAGCCCGCAGGCTGACAAGCATTTGGTGCTAACAAGTGTGGCACTGCCTGAGGCCCCTCGCCGCGGCCGTCTCTCAGATCCTGGCCACAAGCAAAGCCGTCCAGTGTGCTGAAAGGGTGAAAACCCAGATGACTCGAGCTTGCCCCCTTCACCGCATGTGCTACTGGGCGACGCGGCGCGACGGTACGTAACTATGTCACAGGCCGATCCGGCTGTTGCAAAAACACTGCTTACCTAGCCGAATCCATGCATATCTAAGGAACCTGAGGCCAATTCAGCTTGCTGCTTCTACGCAATCTCGATCTATCCTTTGAGAGACTGTTGATGAACATGTATTTCGCTTCGGCTTCTCCTACATAGCCTTGATTTTCAGGGCCTATGGAGGAAATACAGAGAGCGCCAGCCTCAAACCTGAAAGGGCTCCTAAATTCTGCCACCCCTTCCAGACGAATGCTTGCAAGCTTCATTGCAGGGCTTCAAGAACAGTGCCGCTTTCAACCACATCTTCGCATCTTCTTTCCATTCTCACACTGCGACTCAAGCCAAAAGAAGCGTGGGCCTTTGCCCACGCATCTCCGGGCCGGCACTTCCCGCCTTGTCTGCGCCGTGCAGCAGCAACGCCTCCAGGCACGGCACGTGGCCCTTCTCCCCTGCATAGTGGAACACGGTTCGGCCTCAGGCAAGACAGCACTTCTGGGGGGTTCGGGATTCGGACCCATAGACACTTAACATCTATTCTCAATCCACCCCAGACTTCACATGGGCCCATGAGTCGCGGATAAAGGATCACACCACCACTGCCTGAGGCCCTCGCCGCGGCTGTCTTTTACATCCTCACGGGCAAGGGCGTCTAGAGTGCTGACAAGAGAAAAAGTGAAGCGGGGTCGCTTTATTCGCCGAAGCCACGCTTGCAGGTGCAGATCTACGTGAGGAGTCCGAAGCAAAACCAGCTTGCTGTATGCCGATGCGTGTTCTCGAACGCGTTCGATGTCACTGTAGGGATGGTTCTCCGACGTGAGCAACTACAAAACGCCTTGTGGGGCACGCTTGGCAGGTCGCATCGGGTTTCGGGCTCAAGCAGCTCAGAGGATTTTTTGAAAAGCCGAACAGTCTCTTTAAACACGCATCTCCCCATGCAAACTTCTCAGTTGTTGGGAGGTTTTCCCGCCTTGTCTGCACCGTGCTTCAGCAACGCCTCCAGGCACGGCTGGCGGTCTTTGGTTCGACCTCAGAGGACGGCCTTCTCAAAGGGGGCCCTTCTGTCAAAAGGCAGAATGTGTAAGATTCGAGGGGGCCCTTCTTCAAACTTGCTGCGAGAAGTCTTGTTGTAGAGAAGGGGGGAGGGGGGCATGGGCGGGTCGCTCGGCTCCACGCGCGTGCGAGAGTCGAAGGCGGAGTTCAGCAGCCAGGAATAGAAGGAGTTTGCCCCCTGCCGATCAATCTGAGTCATGTCACAGTCGCACGATACCGAATGTCAGAGCAAGTACTTTGTGGGCAAGGCCAAGACCGATGAAGGCTAGGCAAGAGCTCTCGCTGCTGACAGAGATGAAGGTGATAATGATGATTCGGCTGCTCACAACGAAGTGGTTCACACCCCCGGATTGCAATGCGGTGAGGAGGATGAGGAAAGGGGAGCGGATGTCCCTATAAGGCAAAGAGGAAGCCAAACCAGCTGCTTTCTGCATGGTTTTTGTGCATGTTCTCGAGAAAGACTTCTCAAACGTGGGCTGATGGCCAGGCAAGGGGGCCAAGCAAGTCGCCTCTCAAGCACCAAGAGCAAGGCGCATCATGTTTTCCTCACACGCCCATATAAACGAAACACTAGCCGCTCCAGTGACGCATTAAGTGTGCCCTGGAGCGCGGCTCAATGTGGACGGCGAAGCTCCCGAAGACGATCCCCCAGATGCGAGCATGCAGCGTCGCTTGCAGCTGTGCCTTTTCAGGCAGCATCTTTTTCAAGTCGTGGAGCGACTCTTTCACTCGCTGCACCCAAACGATGGGCGTCTCCCCCTCCTGGGCTGCCTGGTTGACCTGCTTCTCAGCCATCTCTGCCACAGAGCCATCGGCCAGTGGCAATGGTAGCCCGCTCTGCTTCAAGCTCACGAGGAGGTCCTTGAGCTCATTCAGGCACTTCTGCATGTAGTCGAAGTCCTCTCTCAGATCTGGGTTGTTTTTGTCGGGATGTGTCAGACGGCTCAGCTTGCGCCACTCTCGCTCAATCTCACTCTTGCTGGAATCGGCATTCGTTCTGAAGACTTGGCGCGCAAACTGGATCTCAATCGCATGGATGATCTCCTCGCTCTGCCTGCTGAAGGCTTGAATTGTGGAGTTCAGCAGCAGCGCAAAGGGAACTCCAAACTTGCGCCTGCCTTGGTCTGTCAACGTGGCACAAACCTCAAGGAGCTTCTCATGGTTCTCATCCTCTTCCAGGACGCGAGCCATAAGGATCTGCCAAATCAGAAGTCGAAGGACGTCATCAATGTATGTTGGGGTGATCCCCTTGAACCAAGACCGCCATGGCTTGGCATCCTTCTCTTGCGCAAACTCAGCATGGATATGCGCCAGGATACCTATGTCAATCACTCGCCCGGGTTTCAAAGAGCCTTTTGCAGCCGTGAGAATCTCGGCGATGTGCTTCTTGCGCTGAGCGGGATCTGTCAAGAGATGATTCGGAGCGCTTTTGGCCGCCTTGAGAATCTCTTCGACATGCCGCTTGCGCTGAGCAGGGTCTGTCAAAGGCTCATCATGCTCCAAGTCACGGAACTCGACTTTTGCGGCGAGCGTGTCCAAAAAGAGCGCTTGGGTGGGATCATTGGGCACATGGAAGTTGAAGCTTGTTTCTTTTCGCAAGTACCATAGGGCAAAGGCGAGGAGCCCGAAGGCCAGGGCAACGCCCAGACCGATGCCAGTGCAGGCCATGACACCCCCTGCAATGCCAAGGCCTCCAGCTGCCAGGGCCCCACCTCCAAGCGCCGCCAGGCCTGAGGTGACTGCTGCAGCGCCAGCGGTGCCTGTAGCTGATGCTGCCAGCACTGCCCCACATGACACCCCGCAGCCCACAAGGGCTCCGCCTGCAGAGGCCGCAATGGTGGTCCACTTGACCTTGCTCTGCTCCTTGCGGACAAGAGATGCCACCAACGCAACTCCACATGACCCGCCGATCATTCCCAGGCAGCCGATGCCACCCATCATGCCGCCCGGCCCCAGGGCAGCCAGGCCGCTGGTGAAAACAGCCGCCCCTCCAGTCGAGCTCAAGGCACCGGCAGTCGCAATGAGGGGCGCGCAGCCCACTGTCGCCACAGCACCCGCCACGGTGGAGCCAGAAATCAGACTGTCTATCCATTGCCGGCTCTGCCCATGCAAGGCAGCAATGCTTGCGATTCGCAAGTCCACGAGCTGAGCAGGATCCCGCTGCCGCGCCGAAAGCTCCATGATTGGCGGGCTGGGGACTCGGAGCTCACAGGGGCACTCACAGCTTCAACTTGATGAAAACTACCAGAGTATGCACATACTCCACTATCTTTGAACCCGAATTACCCATCCACACCCGATCAAGGACCCAGATTTTGGCACACGGTGTAGACTTGGGATGTTCCCCCCAAAACTAACAGTCCCAAAAAAAAAGATTCTGGTACCCCCTCTTCCAATCCCAATTAAGGACTGTTAGCATCAGGGGGTACATCCCACCGTAGACTGCAAATGGACAATAGCTCCCTGTGCATCCCTGCCTTTTCTGCACTTGCTGCACAGCCGAAATATGTTCGACCTCAGGAAGTGGAGACATGGGCAAAACTGATCTGCTTTACAACTACAAAAGGTCCCTAAACCTAAACCCTAAACCTTTAACTCTAAACCTTAAACCTTAAACCCTAAACCTTAAACCCATTATTGTGGGTATTGTCAGTGCAGAAAAATGCTGGGAACATGGCTGCGATTTCAAGCAAAAGGCTTGAAATTCATAGATACTTGGTCGCGCTTGAGAATGGCTAACAATGCTAAACAATACTTCGTAACAGTTGATCGTGCGTAATCATGCTTCATGATAATAAAGACTAGTCGATAAGGCTTTCGGAACGATACTTGACCATCATGATAAATGAACCGACTTCTTAAAGCCCCACAAGGACTCTAGAGTTGAAGGCTTAGGGAAGGAACCCCACAGTAAAGGGTGAGGAATGGCGGGCACTGCTCCTAGGTCCTAGGTTTCGGGTGGCAGGTTTAGAACCTCCAACACCCGGGTCTTCAAGCAAAATGTGACCGAAACCAGCTTAAAATACTACATGCTTCGGACTTGCTCCGCAAGCTGGGAAATCTTTCGGAGAGACTCAGGGTCCGAGCAGGCCATGCAGTCCGGTCCCCCTTACATGGTGCCAAGGACCTGCCTGAGGTTTTGGCCCCATCTGTCTTTCGAATCCTGGTCGCAGGGGATGCCCTAAACGCCCTAAACGCCGTAAGCCCCTTAATTAACCCCCCCCCCCCAATCGGTGTCCAGAACGGCGGGAGCCTTCTTGCCCTACGATTGAAAGAGTAGGCAAACTCACTTGCTTCCGCGAGTCGACGTGGTTGGCCCCTTGTCACTATGTCATTTGTTCTGCGCTGGTTGTTTCCGTCGAGCATGTGAGCAACTGCAATTTTTTCTGGAGTGTCTTGGCGGATCGTGAGGTTTGGGCCCTCGACCTCCAAAGAGCATGTCCCCCACTGCCCCCTCCCTGAAGCCTGACACGGCCCAAGCTCTCAACTACGGCACCAAGAAGCTCGCAACCAACCGCTCATATCCGTAACCTCCTTTGCAGCCTAAGTTGATCCACTTCACCAGACATCTCAGCATGAAAAACCCTGCCCGCCTCGCTTGCGCCCTGCTTCAACAACTCCTCCAGGCACTCCCAGTGGCCCTTGTCAGCCGTCAGGTGGAGTGCCGTCCTGCCTCGGGCCGGCGAAGGTCCGCAAGGAGCAGAATTTCAGATTCTGCCCGACGCTTTGAGGTATTCTGCAGTAGAACTGTGGGTGTTCTAGCTGTTCTGGGATGAATGGCCGGGTTGTCTCAACCCTAAACCCTAAACCCTAAACCCTAAACCCTAAACCCTACACCCTAAACCCTAAACCCTAAACCCTAAACCCTAAACCCTAAACCCTAAACCCTAAACCCTAAACCCTGAACCCTAAACCCTAAACCCTAACCCTAAACCCTAAACCCTAAACCCTAAACCCCCAAACCCTAAACCCTAAACCCTAAACCCTAAACCCTAAACCCTAAACCTAAATGCCCCCTAAATCCACACCAGTGCTCCTGGAGTAAAATGTAAAGTGCTGGCAGGGCCACCGTCTGCATTAACACGTGTTGCTTACGAGCGGAACAATGCAGGGCGAGAAGGAAGAACACAAGCACACAAGCACACAAGCACACAAGCACGCAAGCACGCAAGCACACAAGCACACAAACACACACGCACACACGCACACACGCACACACGCACACACGCACACACGCGCACACACGCGCACACACACACACACACTCTTACACACACACTTACACACACACTTACACACACACACACTTACACACACACTTGCACACACACACACACACACACACACACACACACACACACACACACAACACACACACACACACACCACACACACACACACACACACACAACACACACACACACCACACACACACACACACACACACACACACACACACAACCACGCACGCACGCACGCACCACGCACGCACGCACGCACGCACTCACGCACGCACGCACGCACGCACGCACGCACACGCACGCACGCACGCACGCACGCACGCACGCACGCACGCACGCACGCACGCACGCACGCACGCACGCACGCACGCACGCACGCACGCACGCACGCACGCACGCACGCACGCACTCACGCACGCACGCACTCACGCACGCACGCACGCACTCACGCACGCACGCACGCACGCACGCACGCACGCACGCACGCACGCACTCACGCGCGCGCGCGCGCGCGCACGCACGCACACGCGCACACGCGCACACGCGCACACGCACACACGCACACACGCACACACGCACACACGCACACACGCACACACGCACGCACACACACACACACACACACACAGAGGCAGACAATTTCTTTGGCGTCTCAGCAACCCCACTCAACTAGGTTTCCATGAACTCGGAGCGCAACCGGCAACCGTTACCAAGCAGCTACTCCCCTCGCCCTGCACGCAGTCCACCGGCACAGAAATGGCCTCCAACCCAAACATGCCTCGCACAAAGAATGACCGGGAGCTTTGGTCAAAGCCTGAAAGGCCCCAGAAAAGGAGCCTCATCTCAAGCAAAGAATTGCTTTGTCCCTCGCCTTCGCAACTGAGAAGGCTTAAGACGGACGCTACGTATATATATATATATATGTGTATTCTACGTACACTATATATGTACATATATATATATATATTCATACTTATATTACATATATGCGTACAGTATATACACACCTATTTTGTGTATTAAATATACAAGATGAATACATCTTAGAAGCAGCTTCGGCTTTCTGGGGGCGAAGAGAGCGGCCTGAGGCTCTGGCCATCCTCGTTTTGCAGATCCTCAGAGACGAAAGCTCAGAGGAGCCAACAACTATGCTGTTGTGTATATATATATATGTATATGTAGTGCAAGATTATATGGTATAAGGTAATACACTGTAAGAGAATCCACTATAATACAAAATACTAAAAAGTACTATACTGCAAGGTAATGTACTATAAGATAAGATTCTATACCATCATGTACATACTAGATCAATGCTATAGCAACAGTGAAAACAGACGTATGACATGTTTGGGGTTTAGGGCTTGAGGGGTTTAGAGGGTTTAGAGGGTTTAGATGGTTTAGAGGGTTTAGAGTGTTTAGAGGGTTTAGGGTTTAGGGTAAAAAGTATGGTACTCTTGAGGGCTTTAGGGTGTACGGTTTCGGGTTTCGGGCTTGGGGTGCTCGCCCAAGTGCGACGCCTTGTCTGCGCCGTACTGCAGGAGCGCCTCGATACTCCTGGCTAGCTCTGAGTAGGGAGTGAGGGAACTAGGGCCCCCTATGTACCCTTTCAGGGAGTATATAGGGTACCCTATATATTTATGTATATCTATGAATATATATATATACATATACATATATATACCCTTAAGGCCCTTTGAGGGATTCTATAGGGTACACTCCCCAATTCCCTACTAATTAACCAGCCAGACTCCTCAAGTTGCCCTTCTCTGCCACAAGGTGGAGAGCTGTCCAGCCTCGGGGCAAAAAATGGGGTATCACCTCCTGCTTCATTCGTTCATTCGGGCTTCGAACCCTAAACCCTAAAGCCTACAAATTCTGAACCCTAACAGTATTGACCCCCAACTGTGTCCGAACTACCTCCCAGCCCCCCTCCCCCCCCCCCGCCCAAACTCAGAACCTTCAGAATCTTCTCTTCAACCCAACACAGGGAACGGATCTGGTCAACTTGGACGGCAAGAGGCGAAGCCTCAAACCCAAGCTACACACCGCCTTACCGTCGTCAGGGATGTTTTGGGGTTTAGTTGAGGACCCGGCCGCGCTTGTCTTGGAGATCCTGCTAGGGGGTCGGGAGGCGTTTGAGAGGGAGCTTGATGTTCAATCTGAGGAGGTGTCGTCTGTGAACCGTGTGTTTGTGCGCCATGATGTGCGGGTGCATTACGCCGCACTTATACGGCTCATGCCGACCAGATGCTGCTTAAGAGTTGGCCCGCCAAGCACGGCCTTATTTTCGGGAGTTGTGGCTTTAATCCGTCCCCAAAGGCACCCCGGTTGCCTGTGTCCTCGTGAGCAACGCCCGGCAATGAAGGCGCGGTTGTCCCTACTCATGCCTTAAGGGCTAGATTTCAGAATTTTTCCAGTGCTGAACACCTGAGCTCGTGTGAGCTCTCTCGCTCTCTCTCTCTCTCTCTCTCTCTCTCTCTCTCTCTGTCTCTGTGTGTGTGTGTGTGTGTGTGTGTGTGTGTGTGTCTGTGTGTCTGTGTGTCTGTGTGTCTGTGTGTCTGTGTGTCTGTGTGTCTGTGTGTCTGTGTGGCTGTGTGTCTGTGTGTCTGTGTGTCTGTGTGTCTGTGTGTCTGTGTGTCTGTGTGTCTGTGTGTCTGTGTGTCTGTGTGTCTGTGTGTCTGTGTGTCTGTGTGTCTGTGTGTCTGTGTGTCTGTGTGTCTGTGTGTCTGTGTGTCTGTGTGTCTGTGTGTCTGTGTGTCTGTGTGTCTGTGTGTCTGTGTGTCTGTGTGTCTGTGTGTCTGTGTGTCTGTGTGTCTGTGTGTCTGTGTGTCTGTGTGTCTGTGTGTCTGTGTGTCTGTGTGTCTGTCTGTGTCTGTGTCTGTCTGTGTGTCTGTGTGTCTGTGTGTCTGTGTGTCTGTGTGTCTGTGTGTCTGTGTGTCTGTGTGTCTGTGTGTCTGTGTGTCTGTGTGTCTGTGTGTCTGTGTCTGTGTGTCTGTGTGTCTGTGTGTCTGTGTGTCTGTGTGTCTGTGTGTCTGTGTGTCTGTGTGTCTGTGTGTCTGTGTGTCTGTGTGTCTGTGTGTCTGTGTGTCTGTGTGTCTGTGTGTCTGTGTGTCTGTGTGTCTGTCTGTCTTTCGGGATGTGTCACATGGGTGTACATGCGGTGGGCCTGGAGCTCTTATCAGTCAGCCCAATGGAAAAGTATCAAGGGCGTCCTTGAGGGCTCATCTTCACAAAGCCAAACGCCAAGACTTGCAAACTTCGTTATTGCATCAACTAGTCCTCGAACACCTTTTCGATCAGTCACCAGGACAGTTCAACCCCTTCGGATGGGCCCACGAGCCTTGTTTGCGCCAGCTTCCAACAAGGCCTCCAAGAATTTCTGGTCGCGGTCTGTTTCTGCTCCGAGCGAGGCAAAGTGCAGCGCGGTCCTGCCTGAAAACGGGTGAGGGAAGAGGGGACACAGTAAGTAGAGTATACCAACCCACGCGGTTTCTGTGGACTCAGGGTAGACCTCGTAGACCTCTGCAGTCTGCACATCATCTGACAGCTCAAGGTCCCAGCCGTCGTTGTCTTGCAGATCCTGGCTTCAGGAGGCTTCGAAAAAACCATTTTGGACAGCATCGGCTTTGCCTTGGCCGCCCAGCATATCATGAGGGTTACCCCCCTTTTTTGGGGTTGGTTTTTATGTATGCGGGAACCTTGAACCAAAAAAAGGAAAACAAGGGCACTACTGGGGATTACGGAGGGCCGAGCTAGGTGGCGGCGCCAGCCAGCACAGCCCCAAGCTACGCCTCCCCACGTGGCTTTCAAGCACTTCGAAATCTCAACTCACCACTTTCTTTCTTGCCTGTACCGGGGGGCCCAGACCATGCAAGGGCTTAGTTCGGGGCTTCTCCCAAGCAATGAGTCAGGCCCAGCAAAGATTCAAAGGTGCATGGGCATTTCCCCAAATAGGGGTACCCTCAATATACCCCAAAATCGTCTTGGGCGCAGGCCTTGTTGGCACCAGCCTCGCCGTCACCAGCTTCCAACAGGGCCTTCAGGTGTGTCGACTAAAGGGGCAGAGTTTGGAGAACAGCCCAACTTTGGATTGTAACTTCGGAACACTCCAACTGGCCTTCAAGAACAGCTCGTTGCGCATCTTTGCAAGCGATGCAAGATGGAGCGCGGTCATGCCTCAGGCCGAGGGGCAAACAGGGAGGGAGGGAACATGTCGCCTGAGGAGCACGTCAGTCAACCTAGTTGTCCAGTAACCTGGGGGAACTAAAGGTTAACCTTTGGGATTAGAAGGGGATTATATTTCCCCAACAAGGTTAAAGGTTAGCTACTCTACAACTGAGTCAACAAAACAGAACGTCTGGCAGTTCACCGCCGACCCAGTGTAGGCTCTGTGTTTTAAACTCTTGCGACTTGCCCACAGCATCCGTAGCTCTGACGGCCCAAGGCCCCAACCATCGTTGTCTTGCAGATCCTGGCAAAGAGATAGGGTTTAGGGTTTAGGGTTTAGGGTTGAGGGTTTAGGGTTTAGGGTTTAGAGTTTAGGGTTTAGGGCTTAGAGTTTGGGGTTTAGGGTGTAGGGTTTAGGGTTTAGGGTTTAGGGTTTAGAGTTTAGGGGTTTAGGGTTTAGGGTTTAGGGTTTAGAGTTTAGGGACGCCCGTACTTGGTGATGTATATATGTGTGGTATATTATGCTTATAACATGTTTTGTTGTTTTGCGCAGCCCTCAGAAGCAGGAACGCGCTCATTGTACTAGCCGACAACGGCAAGCACCTTTTCTTATAACATGCATGCTGAGGGGTTTCGAACTTGAGGGCTTGGAGTCCTCACAGGTAAACGGCTTCACGCCTCAGGCTCATCTTGCAAGTTGCGGTGAACAGCCCCACAAAAGAGGGTCCAAAAAACATCACAAACGAACGTGTTTCAGAGCGAGTTTTCAAGCTCTAAACCCTAAACCCCAAACCCCAAACCCTAAACCCTAAACCCTAAACCCTAAACCCTAAACCCTAAACCCTAAACGAACAGCACCTCTCCGAAGCTTTCGGGGGCCCCCCTGGGCGCCAGGCCTTGTTGGCACCAGCTCCCAACAGGCCCTTCAAGAACCACAAGCTGGGCCTTGGTAGCCCAGTAACCATGTTAAAATAAGGGTTTAGGGTTTAGGGTTTAGGGTTTAGGGTTTAGGGTTTAGGGGTTTAGGGCTTGGGGTTTAGAGTTTAGGGTTTAGGGTTTAGGGTTTAGGGTTAAGTAGTTTGAGAAGGGAACCCATAACCCAAAAAGGGCAAAAGGGTACCACTCAGCTACCAAGGGGCTTGTCTGCTTGGAGCGATGCAAGGTGCAGCGCTGTCCTTCCTCGGGCGAGGGCAGGCAGGGAACTCGGTAGCATCTCGGTGAAAAGATGCCCCCTTTCGAACACAAATGCCAGATGAAAACTGGCTTTGCTGCAGACCTCTTCGTGCCAGTCGCGAAGACAGTCATGACAAGGCCCCACCAAAGATCTACGAAGCTGGAAAAGAGACACGGGCTCACCCTCGGCCCGTTTTGAACCCACTTCAATCCTCCATCCAATTCACACCCATCGCCAAACACACAAATTGCATGAACCGAGGCCGCAGCCCTCTTCGTTTGGCTTATCCTAGCCAATTCTGGAGCTGTTTCTCGCAGAGAGTGCTCTCAGAAGCATAACAAAACCCGAACATCAGGAGTAGCCTTTCGTGTCTCTCTAGTTGAGGGTTTATGGTTCAGGGCTAAGGGCTTAGGATTTAGAACCCGAACTTAAAACGCAGCATCGGGAAACATGTTCTCAAGTTAGCAGTCGTGATCTTGCCAATGGAATCGAGGGGAGTCATGGGAACCACATGGTCGTGCTGCCCAAAGTAGGGGGGGGAGGGGGTACTCCCTCTTAAACCCCAAGTAGACTAGAATTCCCCTAAAAGGGGCCCCCCAAAAAAGGGTACCCCTATTTTCGGAAACCCTCACATGGTCCTGCTGCCTCACTCCAGAAACAAGAAGCCATTGACTTCCCAAAAAAAACTAAACCCTAAAGAGCCCTAAGCCCTAAACCCTTGCCTTCTCCTCTTCAAAGTCGATGAGTCTCGTCACCCTCTTCGCATCCGCAGTAAGAACTTCCTTTCGCAGGCTCCGGCCTCGGCGGTGCACACACACACACACATGTGAAGGGTTTCGAACGCCCTAAACCCTAAATCCTAAACCCTAAACCCTAAACCCTCTGGATGCTTCTGAGGCCTGCGCCTCCGTGTTCCGGCTGCTGCAGGGCGGCCAGTGCCGATACTTTTTTGGCGCCAGCTTCCAGCAGGGCCTTTAGGGTTTAGGGTTTTAGGGTTTAGGGTTTAGGGTTCAGGGTTTCGGATTTGGGGTTTAGGGCTTCTACCTTGGGCCCTTAAGGTTGTACCCTTGGGTTTTGGGGCCCCGTTTTCAGGATCCCTAAGGGAATCCAAGGGCCATACTAAGAGTATGTTTAGGGGAACTTTTTGGGGTACAACCTTTGGGGAACGAGTCTATACAAGGTTGAGGAGCTGTATGGCCTAGGGGGTCATCGGGTAGAGGGCGAAAGGGCTAAAAGGCTTAGGGGTTTTCGAGCTGAGCTGTATAGGGTTGTGTAGGGCAGTCGGGTTTTAGGGCTTCGGGATGTTTAAGTTTTCTAAACCCTGACCCCCAAACCCTAAACCCTAAGCCTGAACCGTGAACCCTAAGCCCGAAGAAGGCTTGAGGATCTTGTCCTTCTCGCAGGCATAGTTCCCTGCCAGAACAGCGTCGATGAGAGGAGTCCAGCCTCAGGGTTTAGGGTTTAGGGTTTAGGGTTTAGGGTTTAGGGTTTAGGGTTTAGGGTTTCGGATTTGGGGTTTAGGGCACAGGGTTTAGGGTTGAGGGCTTGGGGTTTAGGGTTTAGGGTTTGGGGTGCCGGCTTGGGAGGCTTCTTCAGGTCCGAGACATGGGGGGGCTCTTGAGGAAGTAGGGTTAGGGCATATGGGTGTTGTTTTAGGGTTTCAGGGTTTGAGGGTTTGAGGTTGTAGCCCTAAACCCGGGCACCTCACCCCTCTTGCCTCCAATCCACAATCCACTCCCCTCGAACTAGACCATGCGGATACGATCAGGAAACATAGAAGCGAAACACAAGCAGCCTAAACCCTAAACCCCTAAACCCCTAAACCCCTAAACCCCTAAACCCCTAAACCCCTAAACCCCTAAACCCCTAAACCCCTAAACCCCTAAACCCCTAAGCCCCATGAACACAAGCTGGAAGAAGTTGGAAAACTGCCCTGAGGCCTAGGCCCGCCTTGTCGCGAAGATTCTGGCCAAAGAGATGCGTAGGATTTAGGGTTTAGTATTGAGGGGTGTTGCTCTACAAGTAGTATATATATATATATACACACATATATCTGTTGTATGTAAGGTACCAAATTCCCTAGTTCCCTGTTTAAGAACAGAAGACTGCACACACAGTACAGACTACCTCTGAAGGTGATTTCCACGTCATTCTGCATGTGTCGACTTCGCTTATCAGTTCTCTTTTTGTCTGACAATTGCTAGGCCACTACAATGGAAAGTTTGCACATGTATGCCACAAGAGGATTCATGGTGCACGCACTGCTCACGCAAGGCTTTGCAGACATCTATGACCCACCTTTATCACCCTGCAAACGATTAAATAGGGTACCTAATTCAGTGACCCCCTTAAGCTTTGTGAAGGTCCTGGAGCCCTTTTAACTTTAAGCCGGTTTAGGGTCTATGGGTTTCGGGTTTAGCGTTTAGGGTCCGCCCCAACACCCTCCGCCCCCCTTGCCGAGGCCAAGGCAGTCTTGGCCGGCAACACCTGGCGAGCTCAGGATCTGAAAAAAAGTAACAGCACGGAATTCGCGGAATTCGGGTGCAGCAGGTTAGGTACCCTATCTCCCACAAAGAAACACTTTAGCAAATTCTGTAGTTCATTCGTGCAGCTTTACCCTGAACCCTGAAACCCCAAAAACCTGAACCCTAAACCCCAAATCCTGAATCCTGAGCCCTGAACCCTGAACCCCAAATCCTGAATCCTAGACCCTAAACCCTAAACCCTAAACCCTAAACCCTAAACCCTAAACCCTAAACCTCAAAGGGCAAGCTATTGCTTTGGCTCTCAGCACCCACCTTGTTCTCGCAGGTGGACAGAAGGAAGTCCACGCTTGGCTTGTACCCGATCTTCGCTGCAGCGTGGAGAGCAGTCCGACCTCAAAGTTTAGGGTTGAGGGTTTAGGGTTTAGGGTGCGGAGCTGCAGTTGGTATTGTAGAAAGGAGTTGGTGTTGGAAGTTGAAGGGTCAACGTACCCGGTAATCTTCATGGCTCAAGACTGGGCCATGCGCCTGGTAGCAAAAAGAAGTTTTGAGTTCCTGTTGTTTGCTGGTTGGTTCAGGGTGAAATCTTGGGCGACTGTTGGGGTTGGTTTCCTCTCCCTTTCGGTTGCCCCCCGTAGGTTATGAGCCCAAATTAGGTTCCCTGCGGTCTGTGTTTCGGCTTTAGGGTGAGAGTTGAAGCCATGGCGACCAACTGGTTACGGACTGGCGCGGCATCATCGAGCTCCAATGTGGGCGACCAAGGTGAAGGTGGTGTCAAAAGGTCTGCAACGGGTGAAAAAGTTGTTCCCAATGTGGAAGCTCTGGTTGATGCTGGTGGTATGCGTGGCGAAGAGAAGCCGGTGGTAGAAGGACTGGAAGACCAGATGGAAGCAGTTTTGCTGCGCCTTCTGAGCAAACATGGGCATCTTCTTCGAGCTGCGGAACCTGCTGAATCAACGGGAGCGCCAACAACAAGCACCTCTACGTCAAAGATGGTGGAGCAAGGGTGCCAGACAGAGCTGGTTGGGGATGTTATCCCTGTTTCCAAGCGAGCTCGCAACAAAGTGAGCTTCGCGGCTGAAAGTGGTGATCTGTTGACAGGTGAAGCGGAAGAAACTGCGCCTGTTGCTGCGACAAAAAGCAGTATCCTCGTCGTTGGGGACGCAGAAGGAGTCGTTCCTGTTGCTATGGTGATGAGTGAAGGAGAAATCCTGGAATTGGAGGCAGCGAGAATACAGCAGGAGTCAGATGAAGACTTATACGCTGATGGTGGAGGCAAATTGTCTCAAGCTGCTGACCTTCCAATCATCGACTGTGATGGGATGACATGGGAACGCCATTTTCACGAGGATGGGAGAGAATATCTTTACTGCTTAGACACGGGAGATACCCAATGGGTGTTGCCTAAGAAGACTGGGATGGCTGGAAACAGTGAAGGGTCTGGTGTTGGAATGGGCATTGTCCCTGTGGAAGAAGAGCCAGCACTGGGTACTACTTCATCCTCGTCGCCTACTGAGTCTTTCAGGGCACAACAGGGTAGCGTGGAAAGTGTCAACAGCGGTGTAAATAGTGTAGGTGAAAAGGGTTTTTCCTCTACTATCAGGGATAGCGGTCTTAGGGCTGGTGGTGACGCCCCGACCTCGGGTTCTCCTGATGAGGAAGGAATTTCTGGAATCCGAGCAGACATCGCTGGAAAACATCTGGATCGGGAAGAGATGGAAGTGCTTTCTGAGGGCGTGGCAGCGGTGGAATCGGTGGGTCCAGAAGAAAAAATGCCCAATGTGGAGTTTGGAACTGTGTCGGCTGCAGAAGAGAGAGTGGTGGATGTGGTACCTGTCGTTCAGGAAGGTGATCCTGGAGATTTGGAGGACGGAGGGAAAAAGTTGTGTGTTACGACTGAGGAGGTCTCTTCGTTTGGTGCCAAGAATCTTGCCATTCAAGGAGAAAAAGAAGCTTCTGGAATAGCTGGAGACACGGAAGATCTGAAAGATGAGGCCTGGAGCGCCAATGATGCGCGGGTCAATGCGCCAGATAGTACCTGGAGTGCGAAAGAAGCACGGGTTGAGGTGCATATGGTGTCACGTTCCACGGGCGACTGCAACAATGGGGCGCAGGTCTCCGCAGCAGCTGATGACGGAGGTTCACAGGTGGACGCACTGGCGCAACCTGAAGTTAGCCGCGAGGAACGAAATGGCAAGGGCTACACCGGAGCCGATGAGGCAGCTGTGGTCAGTGATGGTGGCAATTCTCCTTTGGAAACCATGGAGCCAAAGGAGCCTGCGGTGGAAGAAAATGTACCTGCCGTGGATGAGCAATCCAATAGCCCTGCAGTGGAAGAAAATTTGCCTGCTGCAGAAGGTGTGACAAAAGACTCCAATGATGGGTCCGCTCCCATGAAGGGGGAAGTAGTGCCGTCTGGAAGCTCGCCGGAAGTCGACACCGAGCGAACTGCAACAGATGAGGCAAAGCCATTGGCTGGAAAAAAGGAAGGTCCTGAGCCCCTGGAGCACAAGATGGATGATCTTGTGGGACTCGTGCAGGAGCAGGACGAGCAGTGTGACCCAAAGGTGGAAACAAAGGATGTTTCAGGAGCCGATGATACAGAGATGGTTTCTGAAGAGCATGCAAAGAAAGTGCCCCGAGCGGGAGCCTTGGATTCACCTGGGGAACATTGCTATCAAGAGGGAGATGAGATCGTTGGTCTAGTGCGCTGCATCAATGGGTATGGAGCTTTTTTGGACCATGGTGATGTGAATGTGTTGGTTCCTGCAGAAGGGAACAACGCACATCAATTCAAATTTGGTGATACTGTCAATGGAACAGTGAAACGAGTGGAAGATGAGGGTACCGTGATCTTGGACACCTTTCTGGTTTTGGAAGAGGACGAGGAGGACTCTTCTTCGACGCTGCGCAAATGGAAAGCCAGCGGCTGGAGTACGTGGTGGACAGATTCATGGTATGCTGGTCAATGGTACCAAGATTCCAACAGTCAATGGGACTGGAAACGGGAGGAAGAGCAATCCGATGAAGGGTTTGCTGATCGGGAGTTATCCTCAGAAGAACGAGAGGAAAGGCAACTTTATGGAGAAAAGATCTATAAAGCTCTTCTTGAGGATGGAAAGGCTGATAAGGCCTATGTGGGCAAAATCACTGGGATGCTGTTGGGTCGTACAATGGAAGAGCTACAGGAGTGTGTTGCAGACCATGCATTCCTGGATGCGGAAGCTCGGCGCGCGTATGGCATCTTGCAAAGTGATGGTTGGAAGCCCGATGGTGCAGAAAGCACAGGCTTGGGAAAGATAACCACCTTTTCCCGAAAACAGTACCACAACGCGCTCTTCGAACTGGCATGTAGGAAAAGGAGATTGAGTCGACCAGTTGTGGGTGAAGCGGTGGCAACGTTGCTGAGTCAAGGCAAAGATGAACTTTGGAACGCGCTTTGGCTGGACACCAAGCGATTTTTGCAGGAGCTTGATGGTGCGGTGGAATCCATGAGTAAAAGGGAGAACAAGCCAATGGAAGCCTACATGGATCCTGACCAGTACAAAAAGGCTCACCTGACTCCAAAGACTGTGTCACCTGGATACAGCAAGCTGTGCAAGTTCTTCAATCAGGGAAGGTGTCGCAATGGTGATGAGTGTTCCTATGAGCATCGTCGTTATGGTGAAGGTTGGCCAGGAGGAGGATCAACTGAGCCAAAGAACAGCCAAAAAGCTGGAGATGAGGATGGGAACATTGGTGACCCTCCTACAGAGGAAGGCACAGTGGATGAGGCACAGCAGGAGCGGGAGGATTCAGCCTTCCGGGCCAAGTACAACTTTGGTAAAGGTGCATCAAAGGGTGAACCTACGTTGGGTGAGCCAAAAAGTCGGCTGTGTCTGTATTACAATCAAGGTGGTTGTAAATATGGGACTACATGCAGGTATCTTCACGACGATGACATAGCGTTGGAAGGGACTTGGGAACCCGGCAAATCTTGGGACAATGCTTCCAGGAAGGCACTAAGGGACGCGGGGTTCCATCATTGCTGCTTCGACTACTACCTCAGAGGGAGATGTCGCGTGCGATATGGCTGCAAGTACTCTCACGAAGAAATGTCTGAAGACCGGCTGGCCCAATTGAAGCATCTGGTGAACTTGGCGAACCATGTGTCATTTCACAGGGGAAGAGGATTGGAGATTCCCGACAGGAACGCCTTTCAACCACCGGTAAGTGGGGGAGCAGAATCTTCGTCATCCTCGGCACCAAAAGCGCTGCAAATGACCAATGTGTCACAAAAAGAAGGTGAAAAGGGTACCCTGGATGAAGCAGAAGATGATGAACAAAAGAATTCGGTGGCTGAGTCCACTGGTACTCTGCTTCAAAATCCAGAGGAGCCAATTGAAAATTGGATGGCTCGCAACGAACACCTTTGGGTGTATACCCCTCATGTGAGTGAGGTGATGATTACACTTGGTGTGACCAATGTGTCGGACCTGCAGGAGTTCATCTTTGTGGAGGATCTGGTTGACAAAGGGATCAACAAAGTGACAGCATGCAAAATTCTGCAATTGGTGGGTGGTGTCCGATATCGTCCGGAGGGACCGGAAAAAGCAGTTCCTTCCGATGCATCTGTACGGGTACAACAATCTTCTGGGAGCAAGGAAGCTGGAAGAGAGGCGGTGCGAACCCTCGC